TCTTCTCCACTCTTGTTTAAGCTTATTCTTTCAATTTCAACCTGACATGGTAATACCCCTTGAAAGTCTGCTATTTTTTGGAACATTACATTCCTTTGGATCATTAGTGAAGGCTAGACAATAATACAACAGTGCCCTCTCCAGGATCATCCACCTTATTGCACGAGGATTTGGACATTTGCCATGAAGCTGTAATGATGCCTAATTATAACTGGCTGCCATAGAGCTGATGAGGTCTGTACTTCTCAACCCCTACAATCAAAACCCTTTATGTAACTCTCAATTAATCTCTCAAACAAGCCGGAGTATGAGAGTTTTCTCTCTCCCACGGGTTACTTTTGAAAATTAGCCTCGGTAATAGCAGCAGGTGACACACCGCTGGCTGCCAACATGTAGACTATAATTACACCTCACTGACTCATACGTGCTTTTTGACTGTATATTAAATATGAAACTTACTTTTTAACAGTGACCGGAAAGGGCTTGGGTTGGTAGTTTGTCCTTGAACTTCAACAGCGGTCGTTGAAATAATGATATCAGTCAGGTAACAAGCGCTCGTGCACATTTAGTTACTGAGTACAATATAGAGAGTAAAGTGCGAATGAGGCACTAATGAGGGTTGTTCTGGAATTTCTGAGAAAAATATATAAATATTTACCACGTAGTGTGACATTTACAAAAAGGCAAACAAGTAACAATTTATTAATTATACTATAATTACTCCCCCCCACCCCTCCTGCCAGCAGCACTAATACTACAGAGAATTAGCCTAAAATGTCAGTGCTTTGAGTGGAATATCTGCATATATTTCCTCCCAAAAATCTTCTAGAGTTTCTCCATATTTCTCCCTGTGTTCTATTTCCTGTGTTGTGTTCTATTATCTTCAATTAAATTGTTTTTTTTTTTCAGCAAAAAAAGTGATTTAAAGAAAATGTAAACAAAAATATGTGAAATCATGCTTACATTTAAGCATACTCCTTTTGACATTTTCCATTAAAGACAAAGCACAAGAAGCAGCCAATCATATAAAGGCTTATATAGGATTGATGAAGCTCATATGCCTTTATATGATACTTCATATTAAGCCAACAATGACTTTTCATCTCATAATTTCATCTTTTTATCTGATAATTATTACTTTTATGTCACAATTATGTCTTTTAAGTCAAGTCAGGTCAAGTCACCTTTATTTATATAGCGCTTTTAACAATACAGATTGTGTCAAAGCAACTGAACAGCATTAATTAGGAAAATAGTGTGTCAATAATGCAAAATGACAATAGTAAACACAAATTTTTCAGTTAAAGACAGTTCATCATTGAATTCAGTGATGTCAACATCCAGCTCAGTTTAAATAGTATCTTTGCAATCAAGTCAACGGTATCGCTGGAAATGAAGTGTCCCCGACTAAGCAAGCCAGAGGTGACAGCGGCAAGGAACCAAAACTCCATCCTTTTAAGCATCATTTCCCCCCCCTTTTTCACATGTGGAAAAAATGGTCTTCCATAAAAAGCATGTATGATGCTGAATATGCTAATTATGACCTAGACTGTCATATATGTGACTTCTTATCTTGTAATGTCAACTTACACTGTATGTCATAATTATAACATTTAATGTCATAACTATGACATGTTATCTCATAATTATGACTTTTATGTAAAAATTATCATTTGCCAAAGCATTTTTTCTTTTTCTCATGTGGCAGAAATGGTCTTCCATAAAAAGTATGTTTGATGCTAAATATGATAATTATAGCCTAACCTAGCATCTCATAAGTGTGGCTTTTATCTTGTAATTTTGACTTGTGTAATTATGACATAATTTAGACTTTTTATCTCATTATTAAGACTTGTCTAATAATTCCACTTTTTTTAAATTCCATAATAATGACTTTTTATCTCACTTTCAATTTTATGTCAGAATTATGATTTTTATATCATAATTATGATTTACCAATACATGCTATTTCATATGTGGCAAAATGTACATTTATAGGCCTGTGTATATCATTTTAATTATATAATATTGTTTATTTATTTTTTATTGTTGGATGCTGCCAATTTATAGCAGTTGGAAAGAGAATGTTGTTAGAATGGCAGCTGTTATTCTTCAGAACAAACACATTTCTCGTCTGACTTGAGCCCAGCGCCATCAGAAGGACAGTTGTTTCAATAGTTGTCATTTAGCTCCAAACAAAGTTCTAATTTGAAGCTAAAGCTCTAAAGGTGAGTAACATCTTCCCCACCATCCTCATGTCTTTAGCTGAAAAACATATAATGTTAAACGAACATTTAGACAACAATGAGTACTGGCTTGAGAATATTTCCCTTCCCTGCAAACATCTGTGACCGAAATGGCAGCAGTACTCAAGAGGAACAAGCGACCTTTCAGAAAATACATTGTAATGTTCACTCTCACAAATCCTTTAGATGATGTTTTGCTAGTTTGTAAGGTGGAAAGATGCACCTTTAACTTCAACAAGATATTTTTAACTGTGGTGCAGCTTCTTCCAGATCCATTGGGGGGACAAAACCTAGAAAATATTTTGTTATTATAGGCCTAGTACCAAGAGAGTGTTGGCCACATATCTTTTTTTTTTTTTTTTGGATACCAGGAGCGTTGTGTCTAATCTGTGTCTTTAATAACCTCTGTACAAGAGATAAAGAGAGATGAATAAACTCCACAAATTTGTGAAGAACCTGCATAATCCAGCATAATTTGTAAATGAGAGAATGTGAACACCTGCACAAGAAGATCACATGGTTAATGCCACACATGTACTTTGAAAGAAATTGCAAAGAAAGAACAGATTTTGAAATAATTCTTATTCAAAAATCTAATGTCTGGTTTTAAATTGGTTTGATTCATGACTCATTCAGTGAGAGTGTCCGTGTCTGACAAGTGGGCAAATGTACTATTTTCCATTGTAATTCTGAACACTAATTCTGCAGTTATGCCAGATGACAGACGGTCACACCACGGGACAACAGAAGGAACCTGAGAACGGACGTTTAACAGCTGTGAACTTTAATATGAGTGGGCTTCCTTTTTTCACATGTATTTGTATGTCATGTCTGTATAAAAATTAATTGCACTGTAAAAAACTTCTAAGATATCAAACAAATAAATGTTTTTGTCACTGGTTGTGTGTGTTATGTCATTGGACAGCTCAAGGCATGATTGCATCAGTTTTAATACCTAAATATGCTTATCGTTTAAACATTGGCACATTTTTGTTTCTTTTCTTTGTTTTTAAGTGCCCCACTTTTTGCAGCACTGCAGACTTTTCAAGGCACTTTTGGTCCCTTTGGACAAAGTGTGTTATATTCTTGATCACAGAGATTAGAGGTCTGATTGATTCTGTCTACCTTCACCAATAAAGTGGCCGTATTTTCCCAGGGCTACATTGAGACAAAACATTAAATTGAAAAACTGAGATGGGGAGAGAAAATACCAAGACTAACTCAGTCGAGCCATCAGGAGTTTTTATGGTGCCTGAACAGATGATTGATTACAGGTTTGAAGGTTTGTGGGAAACAGTCATTCTCAGAGAGCACACGTGAAAACACTGACTGTAAACTTTCATATTGTAATTAAAAAACACATGTGTCCCAACGAACTTCAGAAGACTCTCGCCTTTCTTCTCCCTCCAGCATTTTTCTTTAACCAAGAAGAAACCATTGTCCAAAGTGTCTTCCCCAAAAAATCTCAAACTGTAGAGAAAAGGCAAAACGATTGTTTGTTTGTTTATTTAAACATTTTTCTTCTTTTCTCACAGACTACACACAATACAATTTTACTGTACATCTTTTGGTATAAGAAAAAATATATCCTGACAGTAATAGTATCACTTAATAGTATTAATTAGTTAATACAGTAAAAAATTATTCATTCAAATTAATACATTTATTTATTGCCTCCAATGGGACAATATTAACCTATAACCTATATATATATATAGGCAAAAGTTACAGCTACACTATTTATAATGGGTTACATCCTTTTTACTAAAATATATTAATCAGCAGAAGTCAAGAATACTTTAATATAGGCACTTTAATGAGGTAATGTTCATTACATATTTTAAACAAACAAATGTTTTTTTTTTATAGCTAGAGTTGCCCTGACCTCATAGCTAAGATAAGATCAAGTCTTTTATGGCTCCCAGTGACATTGTGAGTATGTAATGCTTATATTAACTCTTAAATAGTTTCTATATCCTGGGGGTTACAGGTATTTGAGAGGCTGAAGTGAGGAACAGTGAGTGAGTGGGCCTAATTTCTAAGTAAAATATTAAAAAGGGTCCCTGAGGCAGGTCAAGAGTCTTAGAATAAAAACTCTGGCATTAATTCATCATTTTTATCTGGTAAATAAATTTTAGGGTAAATGTTATTTATCTTGCTCACTTCTTTTTATGTCCAAAGCAACTTACATTGCATTCAAGGGTCACATAGTATTATCACTTCTTGCATTCCCGGGGAATCGAACCCATCACCTTGGTATTGCTAATACTAAGCGTTGCCATATGCGCTACACAGGAAAGACTGTAAGCAGTTATTTTGATTTTTCAAAATAGCAATACATTAATTTAATATAGGAATAGATACAAGTTTAAATTCAAATGCACTATAACTATAGACAGCATGAATAAACAAACAAATAAATAAAAAATACTGGATATCCAAGGGGGAAAGAGACTTTTACAACTTAAATTGTTTTTTGTTTAATAAAATGAAAAGATGCCTTTAATGAGAACATACAAAAACATTCTATGAATGTTTCTAATGTAAGAAATGTAGAGAGTTACAATTGTACCCAGACGCGCCTATCTACAACACAACTAAAGAAGACAGTCAAATCCTCTGAGAACATCACCTGCGAACGTGGGAATGCAAGTCTCCGTCCAATAGAATGAGCCTGTGGGCGTGTCCTCCTGCTGCCATCCATGCTCAAGTTAAAACTGAGCTCGCGCTGACTCTGTGGGAATGCCGCGCGAGAATCCTGGCGCGTGTGTGGGATTTCTCAACTTTCTGTATTTGTCTCCTCTTCCCTCTTGGATGTAAAGCATAAGAGCGGAAAACCCCACTGATCTCCATTTGGATATCTCATTTGCCCAAGAACCTCCTGTGGCTGTGTACACTGCGCGTTCAGCATGGAACTTCATAGATTTTTCATTCTCTTGCTTTCACTGACAGGTAGTTCAGCGCGAGGAGTTGAAACGCACGGATTGTCGTACGCTTACACGCCAGAACTCTCGGAGGACGCGATACTGGTGGCAAACAACGGCATACACGTGCCTTTCGGGAGATCTGTTTACATCGATCCGATCAACGACTTGGTCATTGAAGTTCAGCCTGGAGACAGGTGCATTATGACCGTTCTGGATAATGATCCGCTGTCTCAGAGACCGGGACATGTGTCTCCTAAAAAAATCCCGTGTGAATTTGGTCCTAACGATGTGAGATACTCTCATTTCGGTTCTAGGAGCCCTGCGAGTGACAGGGTGAAGCTGCAACTCAGGTATGACACTCAGACTGAAACTATTATAATCCCCTTTATGCTAGAGGTGGAGGTTGTTTTCACACAATTGGAGATTGTTACTAAGAACATGCCTCTTAATGTTGATAAACTGCGTGGGACTAGTAATCCAATCGGCAGAAAGGTTTTAGACTTCACCTATGATAAAACCTCAGAACAATGTGAGGTAACATCACTGGCAGCCAGCAGTGCGCTTCCTAGATATGGTAAAGTTGTTGATGAGAGCAAACTGGAGAAAATGATGGATTGTGATCTGTTTCTCAAATCAGATATCCGCTATGAGCACACATCTACCCACAAGTCCCCTAATAAGGATTACATCCCAATGGTTGTGGAGCTACGGAGCAAAGAAAATAATTTACTGAAACAAGAGTTTTTCCATGTGATGATTCGGATAAAAGAGGGTGAAGAAAACACTCCCCCCAGACCGAGTTTTGTGGCTATGATGATGATGGAAGTTGATCAGTTTGTTATGACGGCTTTAACTCCTGATATGTTGGCTGCAGAGGATACAGAATCCAATCCTGATGATCTCATTTTCAACATCACTTCTCCTCTGTCCTTTGAGGAGGGCTATATTGTGAGTACAGATGATAGGAATTTACCTATCACATCCTTTTATCAAAGGGATCTCAAAGATCTGAAAATAGCATACAAACCTCCCTCTTTGGACTCGGCTACCGAGAGGATCTTTCAAATAGAGTTTGAGGTCATAGACACAGATGGTGGCATTTCAGATCCTTTTGCATTCATGATTGTTGTGAAGCCCATGAATACATTAGCGCCAGTAGTCACTAAGAATACTGGCCAGCTTTTATATGAAGGCCAGTCTAGGTCTTTGTTTACTCAGAACAATTTAGAAATAAGTGATGAAGACAACCTGGACAGTGTGAGGATAACGGTGGTTGATGGACTGCGTCACGGTCACTTAACTGTTCTAGGCACCAACAAGAAGTATTTTACGCCAGCTGATCTGGAGGTCGGCATTGTGGTTTACCAGCATGATGGCAGTGACACATACAGTGATAATATAATATTCAGAATGTCAGATGGCAAGAATGAAGTTGAGTTTTTGTTCCCCATCACAATTGTACCCACAGATGATGAGCCACCCATCATAAATGCAAACACTGGGCTGATTTTATTCAAAAATCAGATGGTGCCCATCTCACAGCTCATGCTCAGTGCAGCAGACATCGACTCTGAAGATTCCAGCATTCAATTTACAATCGAGCCTCCATTTTCTGCTATTGGCGAGGTCGTGGTGAGGCAATCTGAAGCACCCGAGGACCCATCCTCCTGGAAATTTAATGCAGAAGATGGTGTGTATGAGAAAGTTGTGACACAGTGGCTCCAGAAAGATATTACAGATGAAAAGCTCTTCTATAGGCACATAGGTCCACACATCACAGAGGCAGTTACTGATCAGTTCGTTTTTAGAGTACAAGATGATGCCGATCCTCCCAACCAATCTGGTGAGAATTCATTCATTATTAAAATTTTACCTATTGATGATATTCCACCCGTGCTGTTCCCAGGCACTACTTTGCAGATGACAGTACATGAGTACCAGCTGACTCATTTCAACAAGAATGTTCTTCGTTATACTGACTTGGACTCTGAAGACCGTGACCTGAAGTATACAATAACTCAACCGCCAACTGACACAGATGAGAATAATCCCATTAAATTTGGGTCTATTGTTTTGACTGACAGCCCCGATACTGACGTAACAGAATTTACCCAAGCGCAAATGAACCATCATAAGATTTCCTACAGCCCACTAGACCTTGAGCTTGGCATCACACCTCATGTGGTGCAGTTCCATTTCACAGTAGAGGACACTGCTGGAAACAGTGCTAATGGAGTTTTTACAATTTTCCTGCAGCCTGTGAACAACAAACCCCCACAGATAATGAACACTGGATTCACAATCCTTGAGAGAAGGGTGCATGTCATCACGAGTGCTGAACTCGACGCAAATGACCTTGACACTGACAGTAAGCAAATTTCATTCACGCTAAGTCAAACTCCACAGCACGGACTTGTTCAGCATACGTTTACTGACTTGAAAAAAGGAAGCAGTTTCAATTTGATGGATATCTCTGATGGCAAAGTGTCATATATCCACAATGGGGATGAAACAACAAGTGACTCTTTTAAATTGGATGTTAGTGACGGTGTTCATGTTGTAACAATCACTGTGAAGGTAGCGGTAAAGCTTATTGATGATGAGACACCAATGCTCAGCCTCACAAAGGGCACCTTTGGCTCTCGCTTGGATGTGCTGGAAAATGGTGCCACAGAAATTACCACCAGTGTTATCCAGGGAAAAGATGAAGACACTGATGACCTGAGGTTGACGTTCATTGTGGAAGAAGCCCCTAAGTTTGGAGAAATTCTGGTGAGTGGAGTTTCCTCAAGCAGATTCACCCAAGCTGATATCATCAGTGGTCTGGTTGTGTATGCTCACACCAGCGGTGAGATTGGTCTCACTTCGATAGAAGACTTTTTCAACCTGACCCTCTCTGACATGTCTGATGAGTGGACTGTAGGGGGTAACCAAGTAAATGGAGTCAGTGTTCACATCACCATTCTGCCTGTAGATAACCAGACTCCAGTGGTCACAGTTGGCCCTACCTTTACCGTCTTTGAGGGGGATAAAAACACAATTGGTAGGCATCATATTATGGTTGAAGATGCAGACACACCAATTGAGGACATCCTGTGCACCATCATTGTTCAGCCTACATCAGGATATGTGGAGAACATCTCTCCAGCACCAGGCTCTGAAAAGTCAAGGTCGGGAACGGCAGTAAGTGCTTTTACCATCAGAGATGTGAATGAAGGTCATATCCATTATGTCCAAAGCATACATAAAGGAGTTGAGCCAGTGGAGGACAAGTTCACATTTAGATGTTCAGATGGTGTGAATTTCTCAGAGAGACAGTTCTTTCCGATTATAATTATTCCCACCAATGATGAAAAACCGGAGATCTTTATGCGAGAGTTTGTTGTAATGGAGGGCATGAATGTTATCATTGACATGCCACTCTTGAATGGAGTCGATGCTGATGTTCCTGCAGAAGAATTGACGTTTATCATCACCAAACCCCCAAATCATGGGTTCATTCTCAATCAGCTTGCAAGTGGCTCTGTCCCAATCACAAATTTCACTGTGGAGCAAATCAAAGAAGCTTCTAGCATAATTTATGAGCATGATGATTCTGAAACCACTGAAGACAAGTTTGACGTTCTTCTTACAGATGGGAAACATTCAGCTGAGGCCACCATCATGATCATGATTATCCCTGTGGATGATGAAACACCAAGGCTTGCCATTAATGATGGGCTTGACATCGAGATTGGTGAGACAAAACAGATAAACAGTAAAGTACTAAAAGCTACTGATCTGGACTCAGATGATGAGTCTCTTACTTTCATCATTCGCTATGGCCCCGGTCAGGGCTTCCTTCATAGAAGATCAGCAGGATATGTGGAGAAAAGATCTGCTGGGTCTCTAGAGAACATAACAGTTGGCATGAACTTTACACAAAACGAGGTGAACAAGGGTCTCATTTTGTACACTCACAATGGACAGGAAGGCATTCGAGACCTTATAAAGTTTGATGTAACAGATGGCATAAATCCTCTAATTGACAGATACTTCTATATTACTGTGGGCAGCATTGACATGGTGTTTCCTGATGTCATCAGCAAAGGGGTGTCTCTTAAAGAAGGTGGCAAAGTGACACTCACAACGAACCTCCTCAGCACTAGTGATCTCAACAGCCCTGATGAGAACTTAGTCTTCACCATCACAAGAGCCCCGGTGAGAGGGCATTTGGAAAGCACAGATTCGCCAGCCATGCCTATTGTGTCCTTTACCCAATTACAGCTGGCCGGAAGCAAGATCTACTACATTCATACTGCCGAAGATGAAGTCAAGATGGACAGCTTTGAGTTTGAGGTGACCGATGGCTACAACCCTGTGTTCCGCACGTTCCGTGTTTCGATTGTTGATGTTGACAATAAAAAGCCGGTACTGACCATTCATGACCTTCAAGTGACCGAGGGACAGACCAAACTCATTACGCCCTTTGAGTTGACCGTTGAGGACCAAGACACAGCTGAGCACCTTCTCAAGTTTACAGTCATCCAGCTACCCATTCATGGCAAACTGCTTTTCAATAACGGTCGACAGGTGACTTCGTTCACAAAGCAGGACCTGAATGAGAATATGATCAGCTACAAGCATGATGGCACAAAGTCGGACAAGGACAGCTTTTCTTTTACAGTCACTGATGGCACCCATTCCGATTTTTTTGTCTTTCCTGATACCATTTTTGAGACCCAAAGGCCTCAGACCATGAAGATTACCATTGTATCAGTGGACAACGGTGTGCCACAGATTGTGGTTAACAAAGGTGCACCGACTTTAAAGGTCTTGTCCGCAGGTCACTTAGGTTATCAGATCACAAGCAAAGTCCTGAAGGCAGTGGACCGAGACAGCAGCCCTGAGGCTTTGGTTTTTCACATTACAACACAGCCAGAGCAAGGCTACCTGAACAGCCTGGACCGAGGGAATGACTCAATCAACACCTTCACACAAGGTAATGTATCATCAGAAATGTTCTTATCACCTATGATTGATTCCTGTGAAATCTTATTATTTTTTACATTTGTTTTGCTAGAACTGTGCAGTGTTATGCTCTGTAGAACCATCATTTGAAGATACGCATGTAAGAATTGTCTCCTTAAGAAATGCTATGTACCCGTCATGTTCAGGACAGGTTCTCGGGTCTTATTAATGCTTGAAATAATGTAGGTTCCATCACAAAACAGGCACTTTGCCCTTTGCCAAGAGCGCAGGCTGTAAGATGTGTCTGTCTTTTAGCCTTCAGCTTAAATTCTTGATGAGACAACTAGAGCGTTCACACATCTCCTTTCAATTATTAAGTTCTCATACTTTTGCCTTCTAACGTCCCTGTAGTGAGAAAGGAGTTACTGGTTACAGGCAAACCACATTTTAAAAAGAGTTAGAGGTGAACGGTGTAATTTTTCCGCTGCTAGCCATAACAAACAGACTTGCAATCTTTGGGTTTTTTTTTAGCATCTTGACTGGGTCGTACCAGCAGCATGAGTTTTGCGCTCATGCTTCATTGTTCAGATAAACATCCCACGTCTATTACACACTCAAACTTTAATTTGCTATTTAAATACTCAATGTCAGGATTCTTTGTTTTGTAATTTGTTTATAAGTTTACATACTCCTTGCAATATCGTAAAGAAGTTTAGTTTTTTTTTTTTTAAAAGAGAGAAATTATACATTATACATTACAAATGTAATTTTATATATAAAATGATAATTTTATATAGCTAAACTATTTAACATTTAAATTTAAATTAAAGATCTTGAAGAGTTTGCAAATATGTAAACAGGTATTCATCTCTCTTGTTGTTTAGAAAAATAATAATAAAATATGATCCTTCAAAATGATAAAATTTGATCCTTCAGTATCACTTTTTATAATAATTTTTGTCTAAACCATTAAGAAACATAAATTAATGTCTTTAAAAATATATAAAATTTCACATTACATTAAACAAAGCTATACATGTTTAATATAACTATTAATCTAATATAAATAGATTCATAGTATATAATTTTCTGTTAGTTTGCTGATGACCAATCAGGGTGATCAATTGCTTAGCGTAATGCTAACAGGTTAGCCTCATAAACGAACAAACTATATGCAAATTAGCAAAAATAGCCTGGCTTTTCGATTTTAAAAATATCCTTTTGCACATCCCTACCTATTAGCCAGAATAAGAATTTTGTTCAGAAACAAGCTGTATTAATCAGCACAGGTTCATGGCTTCTAAAGCATAAATGCACTCTTCAAACATGAGAACCATAGTGAGAAGATGTGAAATCCATGTCAGGCTAACTTAGTCTGAAATGTGTCCCAGACATTGGAAGAAGCAGAAGTGAGAGATGGAGAGAGAGGGAGAGACCTGGCAAACCTGATTTGACCTCATCAGTATGAGCAGTGAAGCAGAAGGGACAATCACTTCTCTTTATTTACTTTGCCCTTTCCCCATGTTCTGCTACCGCTTGCTCTTTGGCATTTGCTAAATATTTTACGATGAGAGTGTGTGCTGGCGATGAAAGAAGACATTTTATTTTCAATATGAAAAGCGGTTTCATCCATGCATAAAGAATCACAGGTTTACATTTTTATGAGGCTTCTTCCTCTGATATCAATAATTTAAAGAAGTGGGTCAGAGCAAGGGGAAGAGAGAGCCAGGTTGATTATGGTACACCGTAACCTAACCACTGTGTATCAGAGCAGAAGTAGTTAAGGGGTCTAATTTGGGAGATGGGACAGACCAGATGTAGGGAAGTCTGGGTCTATGTTTAAAATTCTTGTTCTCACCTGTCATTATGTAACAGCTTGTCACCTGTTTTGCTGATTGTTTTGTGACTCACTCCCTGCTGCTTTTGTGAAAATTCTCACCTGGACTTATTAAAACCTAAAAATCTTTTTATCAACATTTCTTTTGCAAAACCAAGCATGCTCTTTGAATTATAATGCAGATATTTTTAAGTTGATCGGCTTATAGAACAATTTGATCTTGAGGGTTTCACTCTAGGGTTTGTAGATCATCATAAATACAAAGAATTTCATAGATTGTTTTGAGATATATTTTCTTCTGAATGAATAATAAATTGCATTGTGCAGTTTAATGTTACAGTTTTGTGTTTGTCCCCAGCTGACATAGATGATCTTAAGATCTGCTATATCCTAAAGGACGAGAACAATGCCACCAGTGACGTCTTTAGTTTCACCGTGGAGGACAATGGTAAGGAAAGTGGTATTAATTTTTACAAGAAAATGAAATGTGCCCATCTTTTAATGGTTTGACTATGTGTTTAGAATGATTCATAAACGCATTTAGCCATATAACGTCAGTAATACAGCAAAAATCATTTCATGAATGATATAATGTCCTCTGATTTTAGGTGTCATTGCATATGAAATAGCCTTGGATGATTAATTGTGACCCCTTAGACCAGAGAGGGATATATTTAGATATGTAGCATTTAATTAGGCCTTTTCTTTCCATGGTAGGTGAACTGTCTGTGTGTGCAGTTTATTACATGCTGTGCTACCTTTGACTGCAAGAAAATATATATAAAAATTTAAATAAATGAGTTTTTAGTACATCAAAGAAAACTTAAAAGTGAGTTAGTGTGGGTTACAATGACCCTAAGAACATATTTCAACAGGGCAGGATTAAATCTGGTGAAGCATAGATAATCATGTATAAATTAGGTTGAACGTGATGATCCAGTCACTGTTGCTGGAAAAGCTTGCGGCTAAAGGCCTTGTTGCGATTAGTGATGATTTGTTTTATTTGGAAAGCCAAATATGTGTGATATGCACACTACAAAGCACACTGCAGGATGTGGATTGACTGTGTTAGTGCCTCAGAAATGGACATTGTGGATTGAAGGGTCTGCATACATGCAACACAAAGGTCTGTTTGGTATATAAAGCTAGAGGCAAGATGACACATAATTAGAGCCCATAGCCATGAGTATAAGACACACCCCTTGTCAGGCTTACAATTACTTTGAGTATTAGAGGGTCTCTGGCATTGGAAAGAGTTGGGAAAATACAAGCTCTATAGGAAAACAGCTGGTTCAACTGCTGTATTGGGGCTTTATGTCTGTCTCATGCTTAAAATCACCAGCTTTGTCATGAAATAATCTGTTGTGGCTTGAAACAAGATAACCATTACAGTCTGCTTAGCACCTTCAAGTCAAAAGGCATTATTTTTTTAAAAAGGATTTTGCAGTGGTTGCATTTTGCTTTTTTGGTTTTGTTTTTTTAAACAGTTTTAACTAAATTAAGTGCACTGTATGCTAATGGGCCATTCCGTGTCAGTTCAAGCAGAGGTTCCTGGCTCAAATTTTTGATTTTGCTAATATTTTTTTCTGAAGAAAGATAAACATATTTTGTGATGAAAGCCAAACTATTAAATGTCCACTATTTTGTAGAGGGGGGTCAAAATGGCAATTTTCACCTGAGATTCAGAGCCAATTTACAGGCGGTTACAAATGGCTTCAGAAAGATGGCAGCATCATAATGTTACTTTTACACAGAGATTGGTAGGTCTATTAGTAAAACCTATTGACTAGCAATCTATGTTGCACTATGTGCCAATGGTGACCATTCAAAAATGGAGAAACAGCACTTTTCAAGTTTTTTTTTTCTCTCCAATGTTTGCATGCCTGTTACTCAAGAAGTATTAAAGATATCTTAATGCTCTTTTAGATATTGGGTCTTAAACTTTCCTTTTTAAATCTTTATTTTCTATATTGTTCAGTTCCAGAGATATTGGAATTCCAATATGCCTCCAGGAGTAAATCGTTAAATTGTACACATTTCCAGTGGTCAAAAAACAAATGTGGGTCACTTTTCAAAAATATAGTGCTTCTTTTCTTTTAAAGAGGAATGTCTGAAGACATAATTTTGAAATTAGAAATGTATCTGGTTTCCTTCTGTCAAAACAGCTGCATTGAACATATCTGTCTGAGTGCCATAAATATTCTCTTTCCAAAGTTCGTGTGCCTATAACTCAAGAAATATTAAAGATATCGCAATATGATTTTATATTTTAGTTCTTAATAAACTTTTATTTTGGAATCTTCATTTTCAAGGACCTGTATCGTTCAGTCATAAAGATATGGGGTTGCCACAGAATGACCCTAATTCGTTTTTTCTTTATTATTATTACATTTTAGATTTTTGAAATAAGCGTTTGTTTATTTTAAAAATTATTTATATTTATTTTAAATTTTTTATCACAAAATTAACACATTCAGTTGACAGGACCAGTTTTTAGAATTGTTTTTGTGTTATGTTTCTATTTGTTTCCTTCACTTTTTTCTCTTCCTCCCTCCCCCTTTGGGAGCATTTGTCCCTCTGTCAGTCATCTCTCAATTCAGGCAGGAAAGACTGAGGAGTAGGAACTCGTTGGTATGCAGCTGTGTTGGTGTCTGACCCCTGAGCCCAGTGGGTCATTACCAGTTTTGTTTCTTTGCATTCCTGTGGATGGTTTCACTGTATTGGTTAGGGAGGCATTTATTTTATTGGAAAGACCTCAAGCAGTAAGGGACTATCTGTATCTTTCACATCTCATTTTACAGATGTAGTGTGCAAACACAAAAGGGCTCAGCTGAGCTGTTTTTATCACGAGGTGCCTCAAGGCTTTCTCCTAGGACCCCTTTTTCCCACATTTGTGCAGTAATGTACAGCTTCAGCATGAAATTCAGTGATTACAACCACTTTGCCACATTATGCCTGAAGAAGCTGAGCTAATTAGACTATCTTAGTTTGTGCTTGTCCAAAGAGCCTGACAACCACAGCTAACATCATAAACTCCATTTTACAGCCAATTTGTGTTAAACAGCTGCATTTATTTAATGCACTCTGTTAGACTGCGACTTACGTATTTAGTACAAGTAGTATTCCAGAGGGGTTTAATTAATTGTTTTGTTTTCCAAAATGTTCTTTCTCTGCATTCCCTATAATGATGATAAGGCTGTTTTTCAATGCAAATAACTATTATCATGTTTTCTGCATACAGTTTAGAGGACTATTTGAGCTCAAACAAGATTTTGACCTTCTGAAGATATTTCTGTGTGTACTTTTTCTGAATTTATAAATCAGCCACATTTTTGTTGTACCAGTAAGGCTGCATACTAGCTTTATTTTAGTCTGTAAACTGTCCATCAGAGTTTGGCCTAGATCATCTCATTTTTGTTTATCTTTGCCTCTGTCTCTTTTGCTCTGTTCCAAAACCTAGCAAGCTGCCTCTGGAGACAACATTGTAAGGCATCAAAGGCGCACTGCCGATGCTAAAGCTGTTCCAAAATGTAGGCAACTTCATTATTCTGCCTCCTAAAGCCTCATTCACACAGACAGTGATTCAGTTAATGGAGGTCAGCGAGTTGCTGGGTTGTTGGTTTATAACACAGTCTCTGAAATCACCAGCTTTTATTAAAAATAAATGATATCCAGTTGTTTTGTCATGACAAACTGTTGTCACTACAGTATTAACATACCTTACAAAACCTTTTTTTTAGCATGTATCCCTTGTGGAAAAGGTATAACGCACTGCAACAAGCTCCATTGAAAAAATTAAAGGCAGACAAGGCAATTAATAAATTTATTTTCATTTCATTCAATACCAAAACACATTAATAAACATAATATTTGTGCTATGTATTTTAATACCTAGAAAGTGCACCCTATACCCTCATCCACTATTCCCTACATTACTCCACTAACATGGTGCACTTAAAGGGGTGAATTAAAACAAGTGAACAAATTCAGACACTGAGTATGCCTTAAGTGCTTTTAGACACCATTGCAGGTGTGATTTTGTACACAACATATTTACAATGTTCAAGAACAGCTAGGATTCTGCCTTAGAAGGCAGTTGCCTTTGTATGTAGTCAGTGAGGCAGCTTACTAGGTTTGAGAACAGACCTTGTATCGAAACTCTTTTTTTAGTCACATAAACACCCTTTGACTGACACTAATAAATGCAGTTCTCCATTTGAACTATTTTGCAACCTGCAGCTCCCAAACTTAACCGGTAAAAGAGGACAGATTTATCAGTTACCCTTCCTTTGCAAAAGGTCATGACGGGTAGCACTTATTCTGAATCCTCTACACCTCTCACTGCAATCAGGCCTCAGAGGCAGAGATAGAAATATGACAGAAACGACTGCAGGGACACACAGAGGCTACAAAGATCAGAGGGAAGCTTTACGTGATGCATCATAGCTCTGCTGTGGGACTTAGAGATGTTTTTTAAACATTTGTTGATGTGAACTTACACCAGTGTTCGCTCTAAAGCAAAAATGCCATTACGTACTTAAATATTTTTTTTCTGTGTACTGTTAAAAAGAAATCTTGGTTTATTTTCAACAGACCTGACCATCGACATCAGGTTGGGAACCAAAATGGTGCCAATTTTATGCCATTTTAAACCATCTTTGTTTCCTGGAAAGCAATTTCGCAGACTGTTCACCACCATTTAGGTTGTTCCTAAAGCTCTGTTGTGTCTGGGTTAACAAAAAAAAAAGAAAAATCTCATTGCTAGCTCTGTTTTCCTTGGTCTATACCTTGTATTGTGAAGTTTTTTTACAGGGGATTTGTTGAACAGGATCCAGGGCGCTGTAGGAACAATACAGAACAATACTAATCATAGCGTGGTTGTAGATAACCGTATGTTTGTGCTGTTTATTTTCTTCTTCCATATCAAATTAACCAGAAATAACATTGCAATAGAACATTTTTGTAGCTCTGATTCTCATTGTTGGCTAGACATAAGATTGTGTATTCACATGTGGATTAGCAAGAGCTAGCATTGAATTTCCCCTGAAAGCTTTATCTCTTCAGACTAAACCAAAGGTGGGATGTTTTGTTTGGTTTAGAGGGTAGCGCAGGTATTTAGGGTCAGTTCAGATGTGGATTTCTGGATTAACCTTAGACCTGCATGGCTGACTGTTTCAGTGACAAGACCACACCTGCATGTATTCCTGGTTAAACATTTCAAAGTGCCGCTGATCGAGTGGACAGGTGATGGACCAATAAGAGGTTTGTGACTGCTATCTTCAGTCAGTCTGCTGACAGTTAAAGGATCTGCTGTTCTTGCAACAAAGTTCTTCTAAATAAGGTTATGCAGGTCATTGGTGAAGACGGAGGCACAGAAGAAGGTAATTGAGGGCATCCAGGCAAATCGTGACCTTCGTTGAAGATAACTTCCTGTGTTTTGTGAGGTTGTGGACCACTTGTTTAAATCTGAGCAGCCTGGATGCTATGAACTGTCTTTATTGCATGACTACATGTCCTTGTTGAATGTTTCCAAGTTCTGCAAGACTAGCTCAGCTTTTTCAGTCCAACCAGAAAACAGTAAAGCAGACAGCCAAGACTTTGTGGCTGTAGCCAAGAGCCCATTGAGCTAGACGAGGAGAGGCTAGAGGAACCATGAAATGAACAACAAGCTGCTGTTTTTCGCTCAAGCACGTGCATGTGTTGGTAATTAATTTAGATGATAGTTAGGCTATGTTGTGATGTCCTGTTTCTTAATTTTCTGCTCTTTGAGAAGCACCTGTCCCCATTTTTCACTTTGAAAAACCAAAAATAGCCTTGATGACTAGATGTATTCTGTTCTTGATGTTTCAGATCTAGAATCAATGGTGCTTTTTCAGGGAAACCTACTGTATGGGGAGGCATAAACTGACACAACTGTTATCATACTTATTCATTGATGTCCAAGTAATCAATCCTGGAAATCAATATAGAAACATGAGTATGTGCAACACGCATAATAGTTTTGATAAACAGGCCTCAAAGTAGCACTTATTTATGACTTGTGTTTAACTAAGTTTTGGGAGTGTGGCGCTCCTGAGGGTTTGTTGATGTTGATGCTGTTGGCACAGAATTAATAAAAAGAAGGAATTGTGCTTTATGGCACATAATACTCTACCCTTCTCATTCATTCTCATATTCAGATTTATTTTCCAGCCCTGATGGTATAAGACCCTCATGAATCACTATAGTAGTTTGTAAGTACCCTCAGGGGTCATCTCCATTTGACTTCTGTCAGACTTTATCCAGTCACTCAGGAGGATTGAGAGCATATCTGGTGAATTATTTGTGAACTCTATTTTTAGATGCTGTTAAGAAGTTCTTCAAACTTTCTGGATAGAGTAAAGCTGCTCATGCACCAGACACTGATTAGCTTTTAATGAGCAATGAATGTCAGCTGTTGTGTTGTCATGTCTTTCTAGGAAACTCTGTCTGGACTATCGGGCTCTGAAATGCTACTGTTTAATAAAGTCATTAGGGGCTTTTTGTGTGAGAAGCTTTATGGAGACTGTCAGTATCAGGGTTTGGACAAATCCACTGGACTTCAAAGCAACTGTCAGTACATTTTTTTCAGAGGCAGAGCTAACGAGTGCATCTTATTGTTCAGCTTGACAACAGAACAAATACAACTGAATTTTAAATTCACATGTGTGATGCTATCCTTTATTACTAAATAGCTTGTTTCTCTTTTCTTCTTATTTATTTGAATCCTTTGTTTACTTCATTTTCAGTGGCCTTTTTAGGCGAGAATCAATAATACTATTTCTCGTACTTGGTTAACGTTTCTCAAAACCCCCAAATTGTACACTCATTTATGCTAGAGACAAGGATGTGACACCTTAATATTTCATTTTATTTTTTGTTTTATCAGGGTTTTTTTACCTCATTTACATGTGTTATTAACATCCATTTTAGCTAAATATACAAAATTGTTTTGTGACATTGTGACAGGTTTTTCACTGGCAAACACCACTCACGTTCTTTAGAAAATGTAAAAATCCATTTGATTTTGTTTGTCTTTGGGGTAACTGATGGTGTTGTGTTTGTTCGGCTCATTGACCTGAATGAACACCCTGAACACAGAGAATAGTGGAGTCCTTGAGCTGAGAGCTTTTTCTTTACTCGCAAATGGATTTGGGCGATATTTAAACAACACCCTATCTATCTCTTCTTTCTTAAATTGATAGAACCTGACATGATGAAAGAAAAAGGGTCATTGCAGCTTGGATAATGCGCTGCATTAATACCCTGCCATTGAGTGCAGAAATGATAGAAGAAATGCTTTTAGCTTGCTTATATCCACTCACAGAGGTCTAATAAAACATAAAACCATAAATCAAATCAAATATTGCCCACTGTTAATGTGATTTATAGTATCTTTGTTTTTGCATATAGATGTGGCTGTTGCCTTTCTGATTTATATAAATTTATATTTATTTTTAAATTATATTTCTATTTACTACAGATTTCTTATCTGCAATCCACATCTATAAATGGAGTCAAAATATGAGTCGACAAGTCTTGATGGACGACTAATTATGAGGACCACTATGATAATTAAACGAACCATGTGGCTTATGCTGCTAATCTTCACGAAATGTCAAATATAATCACTTCATCATGTGAAATGGTTTATTTTCCTTCATTCTGAATTTGTATACGCTGCATATCATCTACCGAATGGTTATCACCTAGCAACCAGGCTAATATCGAGTTAGAAATACAGGGGCATTGGCAACATGTCAATTTTTTCCAGTCTTGACATCTATCAGGCAAGGTTAGCAAGTGAGATATTAGGAGCCCGGGGTTAGCTTGAGGAAATCTAGTGAAACAAGCATAGAAAAGTCATGAATATACATGGTCTAGCTTGTTGAGAAATTGGGAATTAGTCTCTGATGGTTTGCGTGCATGTGAAGTGGGTTATCAATACGCGTGCAGACAATGAGACATGGCGTGCCGTGAATATAGATTAGAGATGCAGTTGGTATATAGGTATGTGTGCACGAAATTATGTATTCACACAGACTTTTGCTAGAGATTTAATCATAGGCTTCGTAATGCATGAAGTCCATGCTCTTTTGGATATTCTTTCATTGTTTAATCTATTAGAGGTGTAGAATGCCTTTGAAAGCATCTCTGTAAGCTCGGTTTGGTTGGGGCAATCATTACCATGGTAATCATTCAGTATCATGGTATAAAACGATGATGGTGATTCAGGAACATCTGGATGATACAAATAATGTGAGCTACACCAAGAATTCTGAAGCCAAGCATGTGAAGTGTGAAGTCAGCATGCACAAGATATAAATATTTCATCATGTCTGTTCTGCACTGAACTACATTCTTTTATACAAACAAACCTTTATTTTTAGTTTGTGTGGGTAAAAGACAGGTGCTGAGGCACTCTGGGTCGAGTGCATAAGTGTAGAGATACTGTAGGTAATCATATATATAAAAAATTTGATTTTATGTTAAAAAATGCTGGATCCTTGTAGCATATACTAGTTAATTGTACTATAACACCTGCTAAGGTCGGTTTTCCCAAATGGGGAAATTACATGTAAGATGTAATATTATGAGAGAGTTATTTACCATAAACCCCTTAAGTAAACAACTGGTGGTGTGTACATTGTTATGATGTAAATGATCACTAATTAATCCCTTCTGAGTCGATTATATGAGGATCATTTTTATAATATATTAGCAGGAACATGCGTATGCAGAGCTCTGCAGAATTGTAATAACTTAAAGTTTTGCACATCTCCACTCCGTTAATATTTGTAATTATTTAAACAAATATTTTATAGAGTGCTGCAGGAATGAATCCTGTAAGCTATGAGTTTGCATTTTTATACTTCAGGTTCCATCGTGGGTTTTTTCAATGGGTTTTTGGTTGAATGCCTGAAATTAGGTCTGTGGTTAACACAAGCTCAAGATATTTTCATGTTTTATTCAATGACATAAAATAGTAATACCTCTTTTCTAAGTTAAGTAGTGGCTAAATGGGACTACAGAGTTTGTCTGGGACATTAAAAGTCATCACACCAAACAGAAAAGCTAATTTACTCACTATAGTCTGCTTTTACAGCCTCATTGTGTTTATACTTGCACTCTTGCAAAGTATTCTCACTCCAACTTTCCAATTTGTTGCATTTATATAAAGACTGAAAGAGTTGATAGTGGTGACGTTAAAGTCATGCAACCATGGTGTAGTTTGTTCATAGTCTACATTTAGCTTTTTACTTCTTATGATTGTATTTAGGCTTCAAAATTCATGAAAGTTGTGTTCATTTGTGAAGATTATCATGATGTAAAAAACATGTGAGAATCATAAACTTTTGTTGGTCACAGAACTTATTTTCTCCAGTAATCCAAAAGCTAGTGGAAAAATCCTATTGGGTTTTTGTCAAAGGAAGCAGGGTGATGCGAACTTCTGGGTTAGCCTACAAAAATACATTGTTACTGCAGTGCTCTATTTATGCTTTCAAATGCTGATAAGAGTGTATACATTTTAATTGTTGTTTTCAGGAGGGAACAAACTGAAGAACCAGCAGTTTCGTCTGAACTGGGCTTGGATTTCTCTGGAGAAACCGAACTATGTGGTGGATGAGCAGGACAAAGTTCTCGAGGTGATCCTAAGACGTAGAGGTTTTCTAGGTGAAACGTCTTTTGTTGGTGAGTATCAGTGCACTGGATCATTCTTTATTTGATTTTCTGACAGCATAATACTTTATTTCATACATTTTCCATTCGCCATCACCTAATTTTTGCTGAAAAACAAACTATTATCCAGAATTGATTAAACTTGTCAAGAAGTCACCAGTACAGGCGTTAACGGAATGATTAACATTCAGTAGTGTCTGTGTTCACAGTGAGAGCTGTTATTACTTAAGCTTATCAACGGGAAGCTGTTAAATATGTTTTTCTAAGTGGTTTTGGCTCCTTTGTGTCTGAAATGAAAACCCTCACTCCCTCTCTGACATCCGTAGAACAGTCTGAACACTTTTGAGCGTACACCTGCTTATCTTGCCCTGCACTGAGCTCAGCTCAGCCCCACATGTGGTCAGTATTCATGAAACCAAGGGTCTTTATTCATGCTGTTTCGGATTTGTGGTGTGTGTGTGTGTTGGCTTGAAGGGATGTTGAGGTTAAAAAGAGAGAATGTGAAAAAGGGAAGAGCAGAAGGCAACAAGAGAGATGAAAATGAAGGAGGGCAGAATGAAAAGCTGGATATGGGGTGTAATGAGGTTCTAGAGTGCAGGTTAATAAAAATGAATGAAGCTCCCTGTCTCTAGGGGGCGGTAGGGTGATCAAGACCTCTCCTTTCTGACCTTAATCATTCCGCTCATTTCTGCTTTTGTTCACTGTTCCTGCTGTGGATAGTGTGCAAACTCATAGGGTCCTTTTCCATTGTTTTTCTATGTGAACATGCACTAGACAGACTGTTTTGACCGTTACATCTTTCGCAGCATTATAAAAACGCTCCACTTAAGTTACAAGTATTTATGGAAACCTGTTTCCACCACTAAATAAAAATAAAAAAGGTAATTGAGACTTCTCTCATTTTCTCGCAATTGCGAGTGTACATCTCGCAATTCTGACATTTTTTTTTCTCAAAATTGCGAGATATAATCTCGCCATTCTGAGAATATAAGTCTTTTTTTCTCCCTCAGAATTTGATTTTATGTCTCGCAATTGCGAGTTTACGTATATCTCACAATTCTGAGAAAAAAGATACAGAGTCACAATTCTGACTTTTTTCTCAGAATTGTGAGATATAAACTTACATTTGCAAGTTATAAAGTAAAAACTGCAAGGGAAACAGTCAGAATTGCAAGATATAAACCTAAAATTGCAAGAAAAAAAGTCAGAATTGCGAGCTTATATCTCGCTATTCTGACTTTTCTCGCAGTTTATATTATGCAATTCTGACTTTATTTCTTGCATTTGTGAGTTTATATCCCACAATTCTGAGTTTATATCTAGCTATTCTGACTTTATATTTCACAGTTGTGAGTTTATATCATGCAATTCTGAGAAACAAAAGTCAGGATTGCGAGATGTAAACTCAAAAAAAAATTGTGAGAGAAAAAGTAACAAATTAAATATTTTTTTTATTCGGTGGCGGAAACAGGCTTCCATAAGTAGTTGCATTCAAATTTTAATTTACATTTATTTTTCATTTTAATTTTATCTTAATTTTAGCTGCAATTTTGGTAATTTAAAATAAAATTTATATTAGGCCACATTAAAACCTGGAACTACAGATGTTTCATTTACCTTTTAAATTTTTTTTTTGATCTGACGTGAAAGTGGCCTTCCATATAAAACGTCTTGTACTCAAATATTTAGTAATACACTTTAAAAAGTTTGGGATCGAGAAGATGTTTGTTGAAAGTGTTTTTTTTTCTATTTGAAATAAATGCAGTTTTTATTGTCTATTTCCACAAAAATATTACGCAACTGTTTTCAACACTGATAAATAATAATAATAAGTGTTTCTTGAGCAGCAAATCAGCATATTAGAATGATTACTGAATGATCATGTGACACTGAAGACTAGAGAAATGGCTGTTGAAATTTTTACTTTGCCATCAAAGGAATAAATTACATTTTAAAATACTACCATATAGAACAAAGCTATTTCAGTTTGTAATAATATTTCACAATATTGCTGTTTTTACAGTATTTTTAAACATATGCTGCCTGGTGAGCAGAAGAAACTTCTTTTAAAAACTAATTTGATAATGTGTCACAATTAATTTGAAGTGGCAAGCAAAAATGATTGCTTCAAATCACTGTAACAGAAGAAACAAAACACACATGGGTTTCAAACAACATTAGTGAGAGAAAATGATGTCCGAATTTAATTTTCGGATGAGCCATCTCAGTAACAGCAAAAGTGTGATAGTGATGCTCACAACCAGTGAAGAGTGTTTGAGATCAGGCTTCATCTGCCTCTGTGCTCTTTGGAGCCTGGAGCTCTCTCTGCCAAACATATCTACCCCCACCCCTCATATAGCTTTCTACTTTTTCACACCCGCCTGCCTCTGCCCTTTCCTCTCCTTTTCCTCTTGTCTCACTCACTGTGGCTGGCGTCCTATGCCGTTTGTTGTGGTAAGAATGAGCCCCCCTGTTGTTAGAGAAATGGAATTGAACTCTCTCTCTCTCTCTTGTTCTTTTTTTTTTTATTGAACTCACCTTATATCTTTCAATCAATTTCTGTCTTTCCATGCTCTGTGCTTTCTTGGATGATTTTTTTTTTGACATGCATGGTTGGATGGAACATGTGAAGGCTTTTGTTCCATCTGAAGTTATATTCTGCTGAAAGCTACAGCTAAATAACCTTTAATGGCCACGAGGGAACGTCTAGCTGACTAAAGATGGTTTCAAATATGGCCCCTTAAGTGCAGTGTTGGGGAGTAACTAGTACATGTAGCAGAGTAAATGTAACCGTAATCTGTTACAGTTACTGAGAAAAATGTGCATTTAAATTACCATTACTTATGAAAATGTTAACGATTACAAAGGGGGTTACATCTGAATATTTTCACACACACAGATTTGATTGATTTCTTTCCCAAACTGTATGGACTACTTTACAATATGAGACCCCAATGTTTCAGGAGTTTAGGACACAGGAAAGGACACATGCTTACTATTTGATAACTTTTAATTTCGATTTGGGTTTATGTATATGCTCTATATTTTTAAAGACTTTTTTCCCCAAAGCATTGTTAGATGCCAGTGTTTCCTGTCATAGCTATGCAAGGATTTGATTTCAAAAACAGTATCATAGCTATTAAACTATATTATGATTTTAAATCTATATTTAACCTTAGAACGATCTCAAAGTAAAAAGAGGTGCTAAAGTCAGATTTTTTGGTGGCTGTGCTTTAAAATTCAATTTTTATAACCTTAATTCAAGTGATGAAGGATTTGGAAAATCTAACAGTAATCAGTGTTGAGCACTACTGTAAGATTAAACTTGCCTGCTTTAAATGTTTCAGAATTTATAATAGTTGAAAATGTTCATTAGAAATGTAGAAAAGTAATCAAATGTGATCAGTTACATTACTTTGAAATCGTTACACTACTTAATACATTTTAAATAGGGTAACTTGTGATCTGTAACCTATTACATTTCCAAAGTAACCTTCACAACACTGCTTAAGTGTGACAGAAATAACATTATTTTAATTACAAAAATCATGTGTGAATTTATTTATTTTTTTTAATTTTTTTTTTAGTATTTATATATTCTTATTGCTTACATATACTTCACTCATGATGTTTCTAATTTCTTTTTGAGGAGATTTTAGATCTTAAATGTTACTTCAAGATCTTTAAGGGATAAAATTACAGTTCTCAAGGAACACAATCTTAGGCATAATTTATGCACTAAATATGATATAGAACAGTCTTTCAAATCTGAAACAAACTGATTGGAGAAGTTGTTGATACAGTCATACATTACATACATATTTTTTTTAATGTCCTTTAAATTTTGTCAATATTTCATCATGGCAAATTCATACATTTTTTTTAGCTGACAATATTACATTAAATTATATTATTATGATATTTTGTATGTAACACTACTACCTGGAGGAAAACAGCCTGTGACTGCTTGAGATATCTGAAACCTATGGCCTGTATTCTGTTTAATTTTATGTAAATTTTTGATGCTTGTAATGTCTAGTGGGTCAATATAAAAAAATCTATATTCATAATTAAATCCCTATCTGCAGTCTTTTTCCTACAATTAGCTTTTCCTGTCATGTAGTAGCTTAAGTGTTATGGATTGAAGCTCAGCGATCATCCAGCATTGATCTGAAATACTGAGGTGATTTAATTCCTCACATCTGTTTGGGAGGTTCTGGCAGACGGATCCCTGACAGTGTCTCTGCTTAATGTATCAGAGATCAAACGCTTCCGGGCAGGTTCACTGCAGGTTTTCCCTCTGTGTGGGAATCCCATCACAGCTTCGCACCAGTGTTACAGTAGAGAGGAAGTTGAGTCTACATGCTGTACTTTAGTTCAACATGTTCCTTGATTTTGTTCCTACATCCTAGCCTCAGAGTATCAGACACCTACAGCCCTGGGGCTTTTTTCTTCTATACAAAGTGCATCTCTTTCTGTATGGCGTCAATAGTGCGTAGATGCCTGCGCTGTTGTGCTCGATCTTTATAAATCTGGAAAATGCAGACTTCGCTAATCCCTGCTCATAAATTTCATAATAAGCTTCGAGTAGATCGTTCTCAAAGTCATGAGTTGTGACACATCTGGAGGCTGGAGATATGAAGTCAGGAAACTTGTTATATTGTGTTATTTTAAGGGATTGGTGCTTTGGATGGCAGTGCCGAGAAGGAGAAGGATTTCCTGGGAAAATCGCAGAAGCAGGTGCAGTTTAACCCCGGCCAGACCACAGCCACGTGGAAAGTGAGGCTTCTCTCTGATGCGAAATACGAGCAGTCCGAGACGTTCCAGATTATCCTGACTGAGCCAGTGATGGCTGTTTTGGAGTCACCAGCAATAGCCACTGTTGAGATTGTGGATCCAGGTGATGGTAAGTCCAACAGAAGTTGACCAAACATTTTATGATAAGCATGTAACAATGAACACATTCTTAAGGCATTTACACTTGACAGGTTTGGTTTGATTAAAACAAACTGTGGTGAGATTGCTCTGTTAGTGCGGTTAATTTGAAAAAAAAAGTGAAAGCTGCCATCTGAACCTTGGTGTGCACCACACAAGCGGACCGAGACCCACAAGTGAAATAAACTCTGGTGCTGTTTTACTGATAAATGAATGCAACATGGACCAAAGACATCTAAACGAACCAAAAACAGGACATGATGTCACAAGACACGTCCCTAAAAAGGCCAGAATGCTGAAGTGTACCTGGTTCTTCTCGTCATAGGAGCTTTGTTGCACATTACAGTTCAGTACAATTATATAAGCTCTTTGTAAGTTATTAGCTGGGGAAAATACCACCATATGTAGTCAAGTCAAGTCACCTTTATTTATACTGTATAGCGCTTTATACAAAACAGACGGTTTCAAAGCAGCTTTACAGTGATACAAGAACATAGTGAATAAATGACAACAAACAATTCAACTCTGCTGTAAAACAGCACTGAAAAAACAAGTGTAAACTGTTCAAGTCATTTCATCGTTGATTCAGTTTGGTTGAGTAACTGTGTAAAGTCCTTCAATTATGAAATGAGTTTAATTTATCTATAAAGCAGCTCTGGAGAAAACAGTGATGTCATCATCCGACTCAGTTCAGTTCAGTGTTCAACTAGTAGTGTCTGTGCAGTCACGTCAATAAAATTGTCAAATATCAAGTGTCCCCATCTAAGCAAGCAAAAGGGGACAATGGCAAGGAACCCAAACTCCATCAGTGAAAGAAATGGAAGAAAAAAAACCTTGGGAGAAACCAGGCTTATGTAAACATACAACAAACTCATTTAGCACAGCATTGTTTTAAATGTTTGGTTAAGTTGTAAAAGCTGTCCAGTTAGGTTGTACTGTTTGCTTATGTCTTTTGTTTTGTATCTTTAGCTTCAGTGTTAAAAGTGACAGTTTAAATGCTAAGTGAACCAGGACTAAACATATCATTTTCTTTTTTGGCCTGGACTAAAAGAATCAAGAGAATCAAACTTCTAGTATAAACGCCCTTAATGTTTACTAAAGATTTAGCTTATATTTTCATACCCACCAGAAATATAAACAGAAATACTATTTTACAGCTAAAGTGTCATTTCTGCACCATTGGTGTCACTAAATGGAATTGGGTTATTACAACTGGAATTAGAAACAAAATGTTTTCATTTTGGTTCATTCTAAACAAAAACTGTGTTTTTTATGTTCCACAAAACACTGTGGCCTCCTTTCCAAATGGTAATCAGAGAACATTAACTGATTTTTTTATTTAATTCCAACTAAGCATTGAAATGAAGTAACAGCCATAAAAAAGTACTAATTTATTCATAAACATATTATGTTCTATGAATAATGTTTGATAGATAACAAACATCAGTCACAGACTTGTATGAAACTCATTGTAAAAATTGTCCCAACACCAAAATTCCGAACAGTGGTGTTCATCATATATTTTATCTGATGCACATTGGCTTTTTGAACACATACTTATGTAAAGATTATATTAGATCAGAGTCCTTTGTCAGACCCATTCAATTCTTCAAAAATATCCAAACATCACCGCTTCAGCCGCTTAATATACCAAACCCCCATTACATCTGGTGAAGATGTGAGTGAGTCAGAGGCAGGCAGGATGTTCAAGAGAGCAAAAACACAACAAAGCTGCTAAAAACATCCCAAGATATTTTATTTTCTAAAATTTTCAGTGTTGCATATAAAAACACAAACCGTATCTCTATACTGCAGATGCCTTTTTCTCTCTTTCAGTGGACCTCAATTATCATAGCATTTTATATCTCTTCCTACCTGTGAGCTTCCAGCGCACCGCCCACCCACGCGTTTCGGCGGCCTGTCTTTTCATCTGGAATTCTGCGCACAGCTCTACGTCTTGTTTTGAAAGCGTCTCGTCGATAAATGTAAATTGTCGACCAGCGTTTGAGAAAGCTTTGACACGTCTGTGCCGGCTGCCTCTGTAATTAAATCGTTCGCATATGAAAGTTAGTCGTGCAGGTTTTGAGGGGTCATTTTGAAGGGAGCACCACACTTTTATCTGTGAGAACCCAAACTGAGAGGCATCAGAAAGCCGTAATGAGACAGCCACGCATAAACCTGTCATCAAAAACCCTTTCCAAGCAGCTCTCATTACAAAATACAGCTTTGTCAGTCTGTTGATCAAACCGCGTTTGTCTCACACTGTCTGTTTTGGGTTTTCTCGCCGAGAGCCGTGACGGAATTATTTGCCTGTTCATCATCACGACATCATCTCATATTCTCACAATTACCGGCGTATTTAGATGTGCAGCGCGAATAACCGAAGGCTTGCGTTGTTTTATTCTGTGTGTTTTTGTCTTTATCGCCTCCTCAGGGTCCCTGGATAATTAAAATTTTCATCTATAATCCCAAACGCTGCAATAGTTTCCATCTGAATATTACTTAAGCCTCGCTATCTTTGCAGAAGTTATTTCTCCTTAGAAAAAAAGAAAGAAAACTCCACTGCTTCCCCAGTGAGCTAATTATCAGTCTAACGGTGGGGTTTGTTTGCTGAGGCTAATGTCCCATGGGAGGCTTAACGTGAAAGAGTCTGGCTGCTCTTTCTAATGGCGAGAGGGAGGGGAGATGGTCGGCATGCTGCTGTCCTGTTGCTCCACGTGCAGTTTTTTTCCTTTCAGGTTAATTATCCTTTTAGCGTTTATGTGTGTGTGGCAGTGTGAGGTCGCCCTTCTCGCGCATTAATATTTGAATGCGAGAGGGAGGTGGTTTTCTTCCGACAGGGGCCTTCGGAAACCTGTCTGACCTAGTTGCCACAGAGCCGTTCACACATGATGGCTTACACCGACCTGCGGGCTCAGACAAAAGCCTGCATCTGGAGGCACATCTGTGACCGGGACGGCTGCGATGTGACAAGCTTCCTGCTTTACAGCCAGAACCTTTCACTGCTCATTAGTGTAAGGAGCAATAAAGGAAGAGCAGAGACTGGAAAGGCATTTTAAAGATGCTTACTTCGACTTTGCTTTCTGGTTTTAATGTCTTATGTTGGAAATGGGTTTAATGAAGGGTTAAATGGCTATACCTTTCCTTGATTGAACACTGAAATACTTCATTTTAAAGATCATGTGAATCGAAAAGGTCAAGAGATCTACACTGTAAAGATACTTTATATCTTCAAAAAAGAAAAGCTTGGAAAGCAAAACTGTGTAGGACATTTAGGTTTGTTTTCAAGTAATATAAATTGAATTAAGTATTTTTAAGTATATTAAAAAATAAATGAATAAACTTATTTTTTCTTGTTTTAAGCATAAACCACACTAAATTACACTAAATTTAAACTAGATTTATGTATGCTTAAAACAATAAAAAATTAATTGCAGATGGATGGATGGATTCAGATGGATGGATGGATATACTGTATGGATACTGATGCATGGATGGATGGATTCATGGATATAGATTGATAATATAGATGGATAGATGGATGAATGGATATATATGGATATAGATGGATGGATGATATAGATGGCTGGATGGATATGGATGGGTAATATATGGATCATGGATGGATAGAAAAATGAATCGGAAGGACTGAATATAGATGGATGGATGGATGGATATGCATGGCTGATATTGATCTGGATCTTGTTTAGTTTTGCTTCTCGATAGTTTGATCTTGTTTAAGGGCAATTATTAATTTTTTATTGGAAAACAACAATAATGCTAACTAAAAAAAAGAGAGATTTAAGAGTTTTTTTTTGTTTATTTTATTTATTGGTTGATTTTGTAATGATTTATTCCCAAAAATGTATTTGTAAGATTTATAATCTGACAAAAGAATACCTTTAAAGCTTTTTAAAGCAGTGTATTTATTAAACAACAGCTATTTACCTAATGCACTATATATTAATTCAAAGTGAGTATAGAAAATAATATATAAATCTGTTATGATTGACAAGTATGCAATTAAAATAACTTGTCTATACCATGCTATGCTATCATTCAAATTCAACCGCCTATCTGCAGAGGACTCTACCAAGAGCTGAATATAAATGCGCAGGATTTCACTTTCTCATCTGCCTTGTTTTTGATCCTTACAAAACAAGGTCATTATTTCGGCCCCTCATGCATGAGAGTTTCCTGTGTGAGGGTAAGAGACGGTCTAAATACGTAAGCCTTATACCTGAGAGGCTGCAGAGATTCGCCTCATTGTTATTCTTTTCTCACAGCCAGCGTTTGAGTCTTCAGGGCTGTAAGATTCATTCTTTTATCAGGAGAGCAGTCACTCAGTCTGTACAACGCTCAGAGAGTGAACAGTGGACAACGTTCTGGTTTTGCAGAGAATATTTTGTTCTCAAGTTCACACTCTCTTGCCAATGTCATATAATTGAAGAAATCTGGGGTGGATAAATGGCTACTAAATATAGTAATTGCAGTCTTTCTCTCTTTTTCTTTTTGAGAACAAATGGGGAAAATAGGTCCTTATCCTTCAGAAAATCTCAGTCATCAAAATCAGATGGTCAAACTACTTCAGATAGTTATATTCTGTTCTATTTTGCAACCCTGTCACCATGCTAGCGTATCTAAATACAGTTTAAAACAGTTGATCTGATGTTGTTCTAGTAATATACAAAATATACATTTTTTAAATATATTTGGAATATATACTGTATATATATATTTGAAAAAAAAAACATATTTAATAAATATGCTCAAATTTGTTGCAAGTAACAGGGTTGCATATTTGAAAATCATTGATTTTATGTGGTTTTCTAGCAATATACATTAAATAAACATGAGTAAGGAGACAACATTTGTAAAAAAAATATATATATATTTGGAAAAAAGCCAGAATTTGTAACATAACTGCAAGTAACAGGGTTGTAGATTTAGCCTAAATTAAGGTGAAACTCAGTGGGGTCTAGCTAGTTTTAGACCAAATTTTTATAGCTTATATTTCCTATATAATATTCCCTATAAATATTTGATAATTTTTCTTATAATGACTTGAGTAACAGGGTTGAGCATCAATAACTAGTGTAAAAATGGAAACTATAGATATGTTAAACAAAACAAAAAAATACCCCATTATAATGCAAAGTTAATTTTATTGCACAACATTTGTGAATATAATATTTTTAAAAAGTCCTGGGACACCAGGTGTACTATATTCATGTTTTATCTTTCAAAGCTGTCAATGAAAATGCTATGTTTATTTATGTCTAAATGTTGTTTTCTTCACTCCCTTTGCTTCTTCCTTACCTATTACTTGAACAGCTTGTTGGTCTATTTTTCACCTCCACTCTCCCTTGGTACCAAATGACCACTTGCAGATTGATGATTGGAGCTGTTTGCAAAGGATCATGAATAATTGCATAGAAGGATCTGGGGCAGGATGGGCCACGCAAAAAGGGACCTTTTTTATTATTGGTCCCTGTGCGGCTCCATTTCAGAAACATCAACAGCCTTTCACTAGCTCTGACTTTTCTATAGATTTTCCATCTCTGGATAGAGTTTTTCTCCCTCCTTTTTCTTTCGGTGCTAAAAAAAAAATGTTTTAGATGTTGACTCAGACTTAACCTGCGGTATTTGAAATAGCAATGCCTGAACAAGCTCCCACTCAGTCAGACGGTTTACTCTGCAACACAACGCAATACACAGCCGGTATGGACAGATATCAAAAATCTATTTTCTCATACAAAATGTGTTTTTGCCTTTTGTGCAAGATAAATGTGCATTACACGCCCAGTATAGAGGCGTATGATTTGAAATAATTATATATTGAAGAATCAATCCACCGCCTGTGGTGTTTTAAAGCCCTGTGGTAACAGTCTTTCTGACAGGGAGCCGCTAAATCCCTCTGTGACTGATATAACAGAACAGCAGTCCTAATACTGAGCTATATCTTCTTTTCCCTTTGACAGTATATATACACATAATGTTTAATTATAAAATATTTAATGATCAAATTAGCCTCTATAAAGGAAATAAAAATTGTTTTATTTAATTTTTTTATATTTTTACCACATTTTTACAAAAATGTTACTATTGACGTTATTAAAAAATAATTTTGTATTGATCTTTTATCAGTCTTATTTAAAATACTGTAAATAAATGTCAAAACTCCTGACCTGACCAATATTCTCAAAATTGGTTTAAAATGTGTTCAGGAAGTGTTTTTTAAAGGTATAGTTCACCCACAAATATTTCAGAAATGGTTCTTAAGAACCTTTTGTGCTGCTCTTTCCACACAAGTTTAAAATGTCCATGTCTCACTAGCTTCTATTCTATTCTTCTTCTATTAAGACAGACAGATCTATCTAAAGGCTTCTTAATTCATGTGTTATTCATTAATTAAGCCTGAATGTGTAGAATTCAAAAATATTCTTGTCAGTGTCATTCATACCAAGCCAGCATTTCATTTTGTGTGTTTCTACTTTGTGTTCCATGAAAAAAAAAGGAAATGGGTTTGAAACGAGGTTGAGTAAAGAATGACAGCCATTTTTATAAAATGACATTGTCATTTTTGAGCAAACTATCCCTTTACAGATTCTTTTGAAGCATCCTTTTGAAGCATCTGTAAACACTTTATGTGGATTTGAATGAATTCCCTGCATGTGTCCTTTCTGTGCTGCTGCAGGCTCCGCCACAGGAACCATCCCCACTTCTGTTCTGTCCTACTCTGACTACATCTCCCGTCCAGAGGAACAGGCCAGCATTCTGCGCTTTGATAAGGACGAGACGGAGAAGCACTGTCGTGTGGTGATCATTGACGACTCGCTGTATGAGGGAGAGGAGAGCTTCAACGTGACCCTCAGTATGCCTATGGGAGGATGTCTGGGGCCAGAATACTCCACTGTGCTTATCCGCATACTGCCAGACCAGGACGACGGTAAGGGCTTGTTTGCTTTTGTTTGATTAAAAGTAAACATTTAAAGGAACATGAAATCTTCACTCCAGGAAATATTGATTGTCATATTGACGATAATATACTGTACACGTGACCTGAACAAAGAAAGAAACAAACTCACTTCTGTGTCATAAATGGGGTGAATAAGTAGGAGCCAGTGTTATATTAGTATTATTTCAATTTTAGTTATTTTATTACCAATTTGAAATTACCAAATTAGAAAAATTATATGTATAAATACAAACCCGATTCCAAAAAAGTTGGGACACTGTACAAATTGTGAATAAAAACAGAATGCAATGATGTGAATATACAATATTTTTATTATTTAATTTAATTATTTCTTATATTATTATTTAGTGATATTTGTTTAGGTTTATTTTATTTTAAGGAACCAGTTTTTTATGGTTTTAAATTTTTTTTAAACTATAATAAACATGGTTGGAGCTGTGGCATAGTGGTATAGTGCTCATGCTGTAGCGCTTATGTGGGAAATTTGAGTTTGAGTCTGGCTCGCGTCATTTCCTGTTCCACTTTTCCCCCAAAAAACAATAAAAGTACAAAAAGTAACAAATAAAAACTAGAATATTTTTTCTTTTAAAAATATTTATTACTTACAATTCAGTCTGTAAACCATACAAATAGAGCTATTCACAGTCCATATCATGCTCAGACAGATATTTATTTGTTAGTTCAACACGCAGTGATATTTAAAGAGCCATTTATCTTTTTCCAAAGCCTTGTATAGCGGCAGAATTTCTGTGTGTCTCATGCACATACAGCAGCCAGCGGATGAACCCAGAATAGACACAATGCACATGTAAATGGGCAACGCTGAAGTTTGCATAGGAGTCTCTTTTTCCTCCAGCGTTATGAGGCCTGAAATCACAGATAAAGTTGAGTTATTCTAAAGCCTTCTTTCCTCAAAGCAACAGAATTAATTATTTTTCAGCAGAAAGCGAATGGATTTTTGTTCTTTTATCTCTGTTTTGCTGTTATTATGGCACCTCTCAAAAGTTTGCTGAGGAAAATAGGAGCCACTGGCTTAGCCCACCTCAGACAGAAAGCGTGAAATTGCACTCAGGAGAGAGCTGGAAGGGATAGAGTTCATCCTTTGGCTGGGAAACTATACATGCACATATGTGTATATACCGCTGTGTGACTGAATCCCTGTGCTGCTCGATGCTTAACGTGGATTAGTGCTAATTCTCATGTGACACGAAGGTGAAAGCTTTCATCAAGTTAAGTTCAGCTGAGCATGCTGCATTCGGTATATCTGACAAATAGTGTTTATTAAAGCATAAAGAGTGTGTGTGTGTGTGTGTGTGTGTGTGTGTGTAAGTAAGAGACTGTGTAATTAGAGGGTGTTGATGGCGCTTTGTTTTGGCACGTCTTTCTGAGTCTTTACCTTCCTTTTAAAACCCCTCGCACACACACCTCAGGCTACTGAAGTTTTTTCTGGGGCAATCCTCTTGTCTATGGTACAATATCCTAAGGGTATTAGATCTTATCTCGCTCTATCTGAAGCTGTTATCAGTAAATCTGGGCTAAAACCACCTAAACATCAACCAGCATCCTGCGTGAGCAAAACACTCCTTAAATTCAGTGTTAGAGCATATAGTTTCCGCCTATTGTGATTATTTATGCTTAACATGAAGGCTATGTGCATTGCATTGCAACAAGCTCAAATCACCTAAAATGTACTTACATTTTATTATGGAATGAAATATCAATAACAATGGTAATCTAATAAAAAATGACTATTTTACCTAGTATACACTGAAGTAGGATTTTTAAACAAAATTAAAAAAAATAAATTCAGCGAGGATGCATTAAATTAATCAAAAGTGACAGTTAATATCTCTATAATGTTACAAAGGATTTCTATTTCAAATATATTTTGTTTTTTAGAACTATTCATTAAAGATTCCTGGAAAAAAATTTATCGCTGTTTCTACAAAAATATTAAGCAGCACAACTGTTTTCAACAGATAATGTTTCTTGAGCAGCAAATCTGAATATTAGAATGATTTCTGAAGGCTCATGTGACACTGAAGACCTGAGTAATGATGCTGAAAATACAGCTTTAACATCACAGGAATAAATTACAATTTAAAATATATTACTTCTTTTGAAATTGAAATAATATTTCATAATTTAAAATATATTTTTTGATCAAATCAGTGCAGCAATGGTGAACATAAGAGGCTTCTTTTGAAAACACTTTTGTAGTGTATACATGCGTGATTTGTATTTTATATGCATTTTAGAGCATTGTGTCAATTTGGAATCAATTGAAACTGAAACTTGAGCTTAAATTTTAAAAATGCGACACACTTGCATGAGATGCTTAAAAATTGTGTGAGTGTGTAAGAGTTATTTTTCAACACTCTTTCTACTTGTGAAATGCTGACTGTGAATAGTAAAAATGAAATTCTGAATGAAATTGTGCATACCTCCAAAATCTGTATCATCCCGTTCTCCTCGGTTTCTCTCTTGTGCACACACACTAGCACATACACACAAATGAATTATTGATCTGGTGGCCCTAGTTGGGCTGCTCAAGTAGGTTGTGTATCATTTCTGTTTTTATTTTTCTGTTTATCAAATTTTCAGATCAGAATGAAGCGAGTGACATTTAGGCTATTCTCCATGTCATTTAAATTTATGTTGAGTGGTTAACTGCAGATGGAGAGATAAACACAGCTCCGACAAAGTAAAGTACAACGCCTCCCCCAAATGATCAGAGACAATGAGAAAAAAGACTGGAAGTGTGTGCACGTGTATGTGTGTGTGTGTGTGTGTATATGTAAGGTAGGAGTTTGCAGGTAGGTAAACAGACAAAGGTTGACTCCCTCAGGCAATGCAGGAATGATTTTATCTCTGAATGCTGGAGAGAAGATCTCAACGAGCAAGGAAAGAAGGTCAAAACTACAGCTGAAAATTCAGTCCAAAACTCAATTACTCTCTCTCAGTTGTGTGTATGCGTGCTAAACATGAGAAGTGGTTTGTTGCTGCCTCTGTATGAGCGAGACCGCATTGGAGAGTAACTAAAACTAGTGAAAAACGATACACTTTTCAGTTGCGTGACGGTAGTTTAGCTGTTTTCAAAATACTCTTGCTTTTTTCAGTAAGTCGGTGAGCCGTGTGGTGGACTGAGTCAGGAAGTTACACTCCATATTGCTGTCTCTCTCTGAGAGCTAATGAACTGCATCAAAACAAACATGGTCCGGATGCCGAGCTCAGTGTTGTTTGGCCGGCAGCGACTGAGCACACTGCAGATTAAAACTGAAGAGATGTTTTGCTGCAGAGATAAAGAGTACAACAAAGACTAGTGACTCCAGTGAAACATCTGGTCCTCACTGCAGGATGTTCTGGCTCCTTTAAAAGGAAGAGACCACCTGATTTATATGTAAAAATTACTATTCATAGTTTTTGTTTTTAGGTGCCATTTGGGCCAGGGTTACTGAAATTAATTTGACTTTATTCATATATTTGCATGGGAAAAATAATTCAAAGATGCCAGCGGTCTTTGTTAAAGGTTATCTTGAAAACTGAAAATAGCAGAAAATGTTTTTAGAATTTCCATTGTATGTGATTTTTTTTTAAAGGGGTCCTATTATGCTCTTTCACAAAGTCTTGATTTTGTTTTGGGGGTGTACTAGAACAGGC